GATTTGGTTTTAGGGTTTAGGGTTTAGGGTTTAGGGTTTAGGGTTAGAAAGAAATTGGAGAAGAATACGTTGCTACAGTTAAAAACTAGGGTTTAGGGTTTAGGGTTTAGGGTTTAGGGTTTAGGGTTTATACCTGAATCCTGCTAAACCCTGTGAGAGTTCTGAGAAAAGGGTTTTGGTAGTAGCATCAACCCTCACACAAACCCTTTTTAATATATCAAGAAGAACAGAAACCCTCAATGAGTTTGCTTCTATAGAGGGTAGGGTTTTCTTTTGTGTTTCTATTAAAAAACAATTGAAATCCACGTACTGATATACACACACAAACCCTAAACCCTAAACCCTAAACCCTAAACCCTAAACCCTAAATATTATGTATTAAACTCTAGTGTGGGAGAAAGAGAGAGAGAGAGAGAAAGAGAAATGCAGGAAACCCTCACTAAACCCTAAAACCCTAAACCCTAAACCCTAAAAACAGAAATACAAGAAGACTCGTAGATACACAAGCTGAAACCACCTGAAACACCAAACCCTAAACCCTAAACCCTAAACCCTAGAAAGCTACCTCGAACGGCAGATAACGAAACGCTACACAGCACCACCCTAAACCCTAAAAGCCATATAGCACAAGAACCACACCCTAAACCCTAAACCCTAAACCCTCAACGTAAACCCTAAACCCTAAACCCTAAACCCTCACGGAGTTGATGTCTTGGGGGACGACTGCAAGTTTTGCGTTGGCGGTGGATATCTCCTGAAGGAGTTTCGTCATGCTGCTGTTTGCCAGCTGAAACATAAACCCTAAACCCTAAACCCTAAACCCTAAACCCTCGATGCTAGGAAGTCAAGAAGGGTTAGGGTTTTGCTTTGATGTTGCTGAAATGATGATACAGTGATACTAGGACTGGCTAGGGTTTAGGGTTTAGGGTTTAGTGTTTACTGGATATATGGTTGTATAGATCAGAAGTATATTAATTTGCAGGAAGTATAAATGAAATTTTCAAGGGTTTAGGGTTTAGGGTTTAGGGTTTAGGGTTTAGGGTTTATACCTGTGGTAGATAGCTTTGAATTGCCCCCATAGAACGCTTGAGTGAAGGTAATAGGGTTTTCTGTAGCTTCGATATATCTAAACAAAACAAACCACCACCAAGCTGCGGAGACAAACCCGAAACCTCATCCACGTCTCGCTGCCATGCGCTCAGGGTTTGACTGCATATACACCCGAAAAAAAAAAAAAAAAAACTCTATTTCTAGGGTTTAGGGTTTAGGGTTTAGGGTTTGGG